ACAAAGACAAACAATATTTAATCTATTCGCAATTTGACAACAGACGTCAAGTACAAAAGTTTGACAATAAATAGTATGCGTGTGTGCGTCAAATACATGGTAGTGTGTGTAATGTTTTCTTTATTGATTTAATGTATCTTTTATGCAAAATATTAGCATTGTGCACTTCTTCTCTATATTCTCTATAAGTGTGGAAAATTTCATATTGCTCCGTCCGCGCAATTTTCGTAAAAAGGGATACAAAGTTTTTGCTTCACGTATTAATATATAGATATTAATATGTGTATTTAGTAAGCTTGTCGTAGGATCTTAGCTCTAGATTTTGAAGGAACGAAATACCTTTACATAAGCATACAAAAATACTGTAACAAAAGAAGGTCGAGTAAAGTTCAAGTCTCATATTTATTAAATATACGGTAAATGTAATAATCTATCATACCAAAACGTTGGACAGAAATAGGCAGAAAATATGTCACACTTGGACGTAATTTCAGGACGCAAATGTAATAAATTTTACGATTTTGTTTTCTATTATATTACGATAAGTTTTTTTTTATTGCTTAGATCGGTGGACGAGCTCACAGCCCACCTGGTGTTAAGTGGTTACTGGAGCGCATAGACATCTACAACGTAAATGCGCAACCCACCTTGAGATATAAGTTCTCAAGTATAGTTACAACGGCTGCCCCACCCTTTTAATAGTTATAGCGATATAAAGGCCAATGACCCGATCGCAATGTTACTTTTTCAATAGTTCGGACGGCTAGAGACGTCCGTCTGCCAAAATATTGCGAAATCTGTTCGTTGTGATAAAAAAGGCCTTTATTTTTTGTAAACAAACACGATTTTATTGCCACTTCTAATTTGTGACAGGAAACATTAACTAACGGAGACAGGGGAGTCGGATTTCACTTTGAAAGTTTTTTATTCACGTAGGACTTTTTATGTTGGTGATTTAATAATAAGTTTGTAACACAATTTTACCACTTAAAAGGCAGTCAAGAAACACTTGCTCTCTCCAAAATGTAGTTCAGTCCAATGTCTGAAGACGGACAGCAATATCGCCTCTATAACATTACAATTGTTTTCTGTCTGTATCGTGAAGCTGTCAAAACATATTACAGAGTACATTGCGCGGTATAATTTTTTTACACGGAATAATGTAAAAAGAAGTAGGGTGCGTCTTTGTGAGAACTATGGAGAGACTCTCTGCTACCGCGTACCGTCGGATATGAATTATTTAGCGACTCAGACACGAAGGTAATGCGTGTCGGTAAGTTATGAGCAACACGAATTGCCCCTTAAAACCTTTTTCAGTGAAAGTTTTACATAGACATCACAGTATATTCCCTTTTCAGGTTGTTTATAAAATTTTGCTTCAAATTAATTCTGTCTTAGATTTTCCACGTACTTTTCTTGTGTGTGTGTGTAACGCGTAGCCGTTGTAATAAAAATAAATCAGTTTTATTGTTCATATTGGCACTTGTCTTATTATATTATTATATATTGCAAGGTAAATGTCGCAACCCAGCTTGAGACATGAGGTCGAAACCTCAATTGTGTTGTAATAGTACTGGCTTACCCTTAGACTGAAGCGCATGACTGCATCGCGGCAGACACGCAATACCATTAAACGCTGGTTAGTAATCGCTGTGGGGGGTTTCTTGAGGGTTTCCTTAGTCGCCTTTAGGACACCCACAGGAAGAGATAGAGTGGTGGGTTGACATCATACAACCATACATACCAGACGGATCGCAAGGCTAACCTTCCATCGACAGCAATAAAAACATTTGACGGGTTTTTTAATTTCCTAACTAGCTTAATATTGTATTAACTTGAGAGCTCAAGTCACTTTCTGACACGTAATGGAAAAACACGTCAGATTCAACGAACTCGGCTCGTGTACATCTATATTTGGGAATTTTGAAAGACATAATTGCTTATGTCTTCCCGAGGGGCGGCTATGAAATATTTAGAGGGTCTGAGTAGTGTTTTGAACCAGAAAATTAGTGTTGCTTTAATTTTAGTTGCCTTTGATCACTCGTAAAGTTATTAATTTATTGCGAGATTAGAACGACAGGTGCATTAGGATTACAGCTACCTTTAAAACGGCTTTAGATTTAATTGTATTGATTTATGCGGACTGAGAAAATTCTTAAAATTTAATCTATAGTAACCGTCTATAGTAATAAACGTCAGCATCAGTTAGTGCACGAAATATGAGAAAACGGTGTGCAAAAAACTCTGAGATAATTGGTTCCATTAAATGTTAAGCTAAACTAAATGTAGACTTTGCTACGAAGAACCGTAGCGAGAGTATGGAGTGTTAGCTAAACTAAATGTAGACTTTGCTACAAAGAACCGTAGCGAGAGTATGGAGTGTTAGCTAAACTAAATGTAGACTTTGCTACGAAGAACCGTAGCGAGAGTATGAAATGTTAAGCTAAACTAAATCTAGACTTTGCTACGAAGAATCGTAGCGAGATCGAGAGTGAAATATTAAGCTAAACGAAATGTAGACTTTGCTACGAAGAACCGTAGCGAGAGTATGAAATGTTAAGCTAAACTAAATGTAGACTTTGCTAGGTACTAAGAATCGTAGTCATAGTATGAAACGGCTACGCCTACGATGTGCTACGCCTGCGGAGTGCTACGCTACAGTCGATGTACCGCCAAAAAACTACCACGAACAATTTATTATATCGAGGGATGAAAGGCTATTTAATTTTGGTTTAAACGAGATTTCGCTACGCGACACCCTTCTTTGTAACTAAAGGTCTGTTTTATTTATTATTAGTATTAACAATTCGATGTTTTAACTGAACTTCAGTTAAGTTCAAATTAAATAGCTGAACAAGTTTGCTTGTTATAATATTTTTTTCAAAATTTAAACTTTAAATGATTATCGTGTAAAATGTGCAAAGAAGCCGCTTAGACCAAATAGTCTTTGACCCCTCGAATTATGAATTATTATGTTAGTAGAATGTATTGTTAAAAAACTCAATACGTAATTAAAAAAAACTTTTGCAGTTCAATATGGTATTTCCATTTCGTTATCTCTTACGTTTGTAATACGAATAAAACTTATAAAAGTTTATAAAACAAAACTTAAATTAATTGAAGTATATATTTTTTATTTTATTGCCCTTGTAGGTAGACGAGCATACGGCCCACCTGATGGTGAGTGGTTACCGTCGCCTATGGACTTCAGCAATGCCAGGGCCAGAGCCAAGCCGCTGCCTACCGCTTAATACTCTCCACAAGCCTCGTTTGAAGAAGGACATGTCATAGCGCTCGGGAAACACCGTGGAGGGGAGCTCTTTCCATAGCCGGATGGTACGTGGCAAAAAAGATCTCTGGAAACGCACTGTGAATGACCGCAGCGGCTCCAGGTAGTATGGATGAGCTCTACTCCGGTGGCGGGCGGTGCGATGGTAAAAACGAGATGCCGGTATCATCTCGAACAATTCCTCAGAGCACTCCCCAAATTATTTGTATTCCCCAAAGTATTTGATTTAGTCCGCAAAGAACGAACAAATTTTAGAGGTCACTAACCTCACAAAATAAACATCGCAGCGGCTTGGCGCCACTCGTGTTCTTTCAAAACCATATAAAAGGTGTAGCGGAATTTTATAAATCATACTAGCTGACCCGGCAAACATTGTTTTGCCATATATAAGATTCCTAGGGAATTTCTAGTGTAGAAAAAAAAACTAACTTATTGTAAGTGTGTAAGGATGTGGTAAATGAGTGAAAGAGGTATGTAGTGCTGTGAACGATGAGGGAATATATAATAAAAATAACAAAACCTCATTCAACCACATAATACCTCATTATAAAAAAAAATGTCCAAATAAAAAAAAATGTTAGGGGTGGACAACCCTAATCACTTAGGGGTATGAAAAATAGATAGTAGCCGATTCTCAGGCTTACTGAATATGCATAAAAAATTTCATGAGATCGGTCAAGCGGTTTCCGAGGAGTATGGGAACGAACATTGTGACACGAGAATTTTATATATTAGATTTGTTGCGTTATTTTGTAGTAGCTATCAGGAATCTTATTTAGTAACGTCACTATTAAAAAAATATTATACACTAGATGATGACCGAGCTTTGCTCGCCTTTTTTTTTATAACGCCATCTTGTTGTGTCTTTAAAGTAGTAAAAATAGTATTATTATTCGCCAATAGATGTTGGGAAGAGTCATATCGATAAAGTTGATTATTGAAAACACGAATAAAACAACATTTTCGGAAAATAAATCGTAGCTAGATCGATTTATCGCCCCTGAAATCCCCTGTATACTAAATTTTATGAAAATCGTTGGAGCTGTTTCCGAGATTCAGATTATATATATATACAAATATTGCTCGTTTAAAGGTATAAGATTACTGTTAACGAATCAACGTCGCGTCATACGTTCAACGGCCGTCTGGTGTAGTGGTAAGTGACATGGTCACTACACAAGGGGGTCGCGGGTTCGAATTCCGCCAAGGGAAGATATTTGTATGATAAATATAAATGTCTTTTCCAGGGTTATGGATGTATATTAAATATGTGTATGTGTAAAATAAAAATCTTATATTTATTTCCGTTATCTGGTACCTGTAACACAAGTTCTTTACGAACTTATCACGGGACCAGTTAACGTGGCGTGACTGTTAGTAAATATTTATTTATTATTTATTATTTATTTAATACATGATGGCTGTGATTTACCAACGATGACGTCATATCGCACGAACCAATAACAAATCATGAAACGTAATAGCGGCACCAATTGTCAAAATTTAAAAAATATTACACGAAGAAAAAATATGGATGCGCATGTCAATTCTATATTTGTAAAATAATTAAAAATAATTTAATTAGTATTTGGCGAAGTAAACGAATTTATGCATTTTCCTGGCCAGCTCAAGATGCCTATAATAAATAGACGCAGCAATTACAAATTGCTAGTAGCATGTTATGAAAATAAATGTTGAATTTTGTTGACAGAGCGTCTGACCGATCTCCGTTCGATGGTTCTTGCTGTTCCGGATACAGACCTGTTGATTCTGCGAGCCTCACCACGCCTGATGAAGACGAAATGGACCCAGTAAGTACATGAAGCTGTTATGGAAAGCCCCGAACATTTTTGAGGGTATACGAAAATTTTCAATTCAGTCTTTCTAGAATTATTGATATAGCACCAACATTCTGTCAAGCAAGGCGGTTCAACTCGACCGTCGCCCATAAAAAAACTAAAAACACAATGAAAAATTATTTTGTTCTCTTTCCTATTTACTGGTGGTAGGACCTCTTGTGAATCCGCGCGGGAAGGTACCACCGCCCTGCCTATTTCTGCCGTGAAGCAGTAATGCGTTTCGGTTTGAAGGGTGGGGCAGCCGTTGTAGCTATACTGAGATTTTAGAATTTATATCTCAAGAGGGGTAGCGTATTTACGTTGTAGATATCTATGGGCTCCAGTAACCACTTAACACCAGGTGGGCTGTGAGCTCGTCCACCCATCAAAGCAATAAAAAAAAAACTATATTTTCTTTAGAGAATGTTATTAATAGGCAGTACTGAAAAACCATTTACATATAATTAAAATAACGTTTAAAATATCAGTTTTAAGAACTATATATATTTTGGCCCTCGGTTACTATATATAGGTATACAAAATAACCTTTTTTCACTTACTTAAAACGTGCCTTCGCTTCAGAATAGATCGACCGGAACGAGTGTATTGATCTTTTGAAATATGACGTCATTATTTTCCTAGATTCCGAAGTATAGAGTGGTGTTGCTCGGCGATGCGGGAGTCGGAAAAACAGCCCTGGTATCACAATTTATGACGTCAGAATACATGAATACATACGACGCTAGTTTAGGTATGTATCAAAATAAATCTTCCAAGTAGTTTTGAGATTTGACCTTCGTTACTGAAGCGACTTGTGTTATCTTATGTTTGCAATACAATCATAATTGAAATGCGAAGAATATTAGAAGTTATTTTTAGAAGTAATTACCTATCATAGCTTAAAGATAAAGGCTCAATTTAATTGGGTTGCATCATCATAAAAACAATGCATATTCTTAAAGGCGATTTCAATAAAATTCTTAACATTTTAGATTGCATTTTTAAGAAAACTTACTCATTTATTGTGGATGGATACGTAATGTTCTATTAATCGATCTAATATTCGGTTATTAGGGTAATTTAGCAATAACAATTTTATAGGGTTACCTTCTAAAAGGTTTTAAACACATTTATGATGTAACTTGGATTTAATCACACCATCATAAAAGTTGAAATAATATACAATACTCACCATAGCTGAAGCTGTCTACGGAGTGACAATCATTGTTTAATGGATAGTTTTAATTAATGTCACAATTTATTCTTTTACGTTGTGAATTTACGAGTAGCTACAGAATGGCTTGAATAGCTCCAGTTCTATCATTCCGTGTACACTTTACTTTAGTTAAAGCTAACAAGCTACAAGCGCAGGAAGCGACGACATGAAAAAGTCTTGTTATATTTTATCTAACTATAATGCTATTAAATAATACTGCCAATAATAATTAGTAACTATTACTAATTACAGACGCCATTAATCGGTACATATACACGATTTTGTAATGTACTATCCATGCAATTTTCCAGCCTTAGCAATGAATTAGGTACTATATCATTTTTCCTATTACTTAATTTCGAGTTACAAATTCTGAATTTAAAACTATTCTCAGACTTTCACACTAGTTTTATTCTTATTAATGATCGTTGCATTGTTTAGTGCGTGGGATAGATTGATTCCGAGCGATCAAGAATTGCCACGTTAACGTAAATGAACAAATTTTGCTAGGTTTAGACTTTTTAATTAGTGGGAGTCTAAAGCGAAGACGAACTAGACAGAGAGATGTTCGCGTCAGTTTATTTTAAATTTTTATTTTAAATTACATCGCGTAATCCAAAAATAAAAAAGTTTTTAGATTATTTGAATACAGATAGAATATTTTAAGAATATTTGTATCATACACAATTGACTATAGACAATATAAGAATAGATTATTTGATTAATTGAACTATTTGAATCTTAGCATTTCATTTATTTTTTTTTTTCATGTATGTACTCCTTGTGTTATTTGTTGTATAAAATGATAATTGTCAAATAAGTCTTTCGATATTATAATTTTGTATTATTCTTTGCTGTTCCCATTAATAACATTAAACATAGAAGTTTTCATTTCCTTAAGATTTTCAAATTGGTTTAAAAGTAAACGAATTGATTAAATAAATAAAACTGTTTTGTTTTCACACACCAATAAATAGTCAATGTTCTATTTAACAAAAAAAAGGTGTATTCCTCGCTTGTTATGTTATGAATGATGTATTGAATATTTTTTTTTATAAATTTACACTCAAAAAATTATACAAAAAATAGGGTATTTAATAATCTTAAAATTCTTGTGCTCTTTCTTCTACAATTTGCTTGAAGATTGTATAGCTTACATTTCTTGCATGGCTGCATGCATATCATGATTAACGATATGTTTCCATCTGAACTTAGTTTAGAGGCTATCCGATAACTGCATGTTAGGTTGGAACTGTAATAAGCTTTACAACTGTTCACTATGTATTCTTCTCGTATTTTTTACATAGACATTTAACTGTGTCTCTTGATGCGTAAATAAATAAACTTTTTCACATTTTCGTAATAAAAGAGCTTAGACCCGGACTGTAAGTTATATTGTCGCAAAAATTGTTGGTCTAATGCCCAGACGCTGCATACAGTATGATCAATTAACAACAGGCAGCGGTTGAGCTAGCTTTGTCAATGAGTAGGCGTATGTGTAATTATGATTATATATATTTAAAAAAAAAGACTACATACTGAAATGCATACTGTGGTATTAGAAAGTCCAAATTCACTTTGTGGTCGGAGTTAGTATCATACACATATTTGATCCGTGTATCTTTGTTTCGTAATGGCATCCATGGCACCGAATAAAATTTTAGAACACGTTGAAGGTCTAATGTTTATTTTTGAGACCGTCGAGAACAAATAATAATAATTTTCAATACATACAGAGATTATGCTTAGAAGCGAGATAATTCTTATGTCGCACGCCAGAGATATTATTTCAATTTAAATCATTTGAAATGTATTCCCAATAGGCTGTTAGGTAATAAAATGAACACAAGATATGGCTGTAGGAGCAGGCTGTTTCCCAAAAACCTTGAACACGAACTTAAAGCTGTCAAACTGCCCAAAAGCTTACTTTAAGTCGTCCCTTGTAAACACTTAATTACATTTCTGAACAGTTTACTTGAACGTGCGTGTTTAGAGAATTATTTATTTTCTATGTCAGTAATAAATAAGTATGTAGGTAATGTAAGTAAATTGTATTTGCTTCTGCTTACCCAACAAGACAAACTAAAGGGAATAAATATTATATAGTCTCCCGAATCTTATATAATTTATTTGTGTTCAGGTTTTTATTCTATTATGTGCGTGTGAACGTTTTGGATTCGAAGTAGTACTCCATACACTGACAATTAAACAATCTTTAGTCAGTGGTCGAACCTTCTAACTCAACAGCAAAGGAACGAAAGTTTAAAAGCGCTGGCAACTGCTTTGCTACTGGTGGTAGGACCTCTTGTGAGTCCGCATGGGTAGGTACCACCACCCTGCCTATTTCTGCCGTGAAGCAGTAATGCGTTTCGGTTTGAAGGGTGGGGCAGCCGTTGTAACTATATGAGACCTTAAAACTCATATCTCAAGGTGTGTGGCGCATTTACGTTGTAGATATCTGTGGGCTCCAGTAACCACTTAACACCAGGTGGGGTGTGAGATCGTCCACATATCAGGGCAATAAAAAAAAAATTTGTACTCAAAAATTTTACTATCCCGGTCTATCTAACTGCATAAACTTACAAATAAGATCTTATTTGAAATTCAGAATTCAGGGTCACACATGTTCCACACGCTTCCTGTTTAAGTTTGTAACTCGATTGAGTACGATCCTGCAATATCCGAATCAATTTCCAACAGGATATTCAAGTTCAGATATACACTGACATGTACTATGTTTCAACCGTTTTATAATGAACTAGCAGCCCGCTCGGGTTTTTAACAAAAATTTCAACGATATTTGACGTTGTTTTATTTTCTTAAATAAAATAACAATTATTGCGGCATAAATATAATAGTTAGACATATGCTGTCGCGACACTTTTTGTAAATAATAATGTGTTCTACAAAGTCGTAGTACATTATTTTATTCTATCATCAATAGTTTTCGCAGGGGACGCGATGTAAAGAATATTTTAGATATTTTTTCACACCTTGGGTTTTAGTAAGAATCCCTAATTTTTTTTCAAAAAAGATTATAGCCTATGTCACTCTGGAATCGTGTAGCTTCCAAACAGTGAAAGAAATTTTCAAATCGGTACAGTAGTTTCGAAGCCTATTCAATACAAACAAACAAACAAATCTTTCCTCTTTATAATATTAGTATAGATTAGTATGGATTGATTGCTTTAGTGGGCTTTTTCCTAGAAAACGCGTTAAGGAGAAATACTAAGCGTACATAGACAGCAGAGCAACTTTTAATTTAGCATAAAAAGTTTGGATGAAAAAAAATAATTAAGTATCATGTTTCGGTAGATTTCAAAATAATAATGGGCGTACGTCCAGTCCGATGCGACCCAGCCTAAAATTTTTCAACGAACATCGTATGAGAAATCTATTAGTGACCCTTTTCGGTCTCTTTGACCTAATGGAATTTGAGGAAATTGACTAAAACATGTTCCACGGTATTAGACGCACTAAATGACGAGACAATAATGTAGAACGACTGGTAATGCGGCTGTGTTCATGGCGATGAGCGGAAAGACGAGCGGGTATTTGTTTTTGGTTAACGGGAGTTTGCTGTTTGCAGTCGATTACCATCGCTCATGGAATTCGGAAATATTAAGGGCACAGCCAAAACGTACTTATCAAAAAGTAAATAATAGTTAAAAAAAACTAACAAAATACGCTTTTATAGAAAATCCAACTAAAAAATAGAAAATAAATTTTAATAAATTTGAATTAAAAATAGTGTAAGAAAAAATGATTTTATTGTAAAAAATAATCCTTAATAAGTATACCAAATTTCGAGTTAATCCGACGTTTTGAAGGGGTCAAAATCATGTTCAAAGATTCCGTTACAAACATACATACATACGTTTGAAGCTAATAAAAGCATATTAAAAACAAACCTGTTTTTGAAAATAAATATGTCATAGCTTTGGTGACACATTAAAACTCAGAGACGTTTTCTATAAGCGAAGTTTGTGGAGAATAGTCGACGGTAAACAGTCTTGGCTCTGCCCACTCACTAAGGTAGGAGGGGGCATTAACATTGTAGTTGTTTATGGGCTCCGGTAACCACTTCACATCAGGAGGGCAGTGAGCTCGTCCGAGCACCAAAGCATTAAAAAAAAGCGGATCGTAAACAAGGGCAATAAAAAAAGGAAAATAAAACTCCGAAAGATTGGAGTTTTTAGTGAGAAAAAATGACCCCTGGGAGGACAGTGAATTTACACAAAAGCTTATTACTAATAGGCATAATCAGTCCCATATCTGGTTATATGAAATTCATACATATTACTTACTATTCTTGGTCATTTTATACAAAAACTTTTATGTTTGTATCGCTATGTACTCTTCTATATAAGTCATGACAAATTTCTCACACACTTCCTTCGTGGATCGTTCATTCTCTCATAAGAGACAATTTCAGAGACCACGTACTAGTCGGATATCATTCTAGTTACACTTATTTATACTTTTATTGAAATTTTCACATAAGGTTTGTGAAAACTACATAACTTAACAATGTCTACGTTCTTAACTTTAATTGTACCATAGCTTTGTATGTAGTGGTTTAGTAATGAGTGGAGATGAGAGCTGAGACTGTATGAAGTGTAAATATTACGCATTCATTTTAGTAATTTGATAACTATACTGATTTAAAACAAAGGCGTATTTATACTACGCTCTCATTTACCACTATACTGGCGACCTTTAGCGTGATTGGCTGTTTAGCTTTGTATCTTCTGTATTATAACACAAGACTTCTTTTTGCTTGCACACATGCCGAAGTCAAACGCGGTAAGTTCACACTTGACTAGTTTGCTTTCGCTTAAAACCCCTGTCTCCTATACAAACGATTATTATAATTGAATACATTTACATGTTTAATTTTATGATTTACATTTAATGTTTATTCATACTTCTACATTGATTTATATTTTTACATCTAAACATTACTACGATGATATGCATTCAAATAAAGTTTTTGACGTGTAATAAATGAACTCAGCAGCTAAAGCAGTCGCAACGTACTTGTATAGTTCGAAGTATCGGGCTATAAAAAAATAAAATAAAGTTGTTATATAGTTTAATACAATTGAGACCTTGACGTCATTTCTCAAGGTGAGTGACAGTATTCGAACTGTGAAGTCCTTGGGCACTGCTAAGCACTTGGCACTAGATAAGCGTGAGTTGAACTACTGGTCAAGATGGTGATATAAATCCGCCCTAAAACTAGAAACAGTGGAATTTTATTTCCTTTTGAATACACGATGTTATTGCTTCATCGTGATAGACGTTCGTAAGCTCGTATTTTATTGAAGCAAGGCATCCTCAGTCCATCCGTTCGTATTCACTTCTATGTTCCTTGATTAAAATATACGGGCTTGCATGGTTCAAACTCCGATAAAATCGCATCATTTTAAATGAGTTTACCAGCAGTTTTAGCTCCTAGGCCACTTTTAAAGGCCCATGGTCAAAGGCCAATGCCAAAGGCCCACCTTTAAAAGAATTAGAGCAGGGCATATACAAAAAATGTCTAGTGTACACAAGCCGTTCCCCCAACCGCTTCGGGGGAAGGTGTAGCGCGGCACTATCAATCGGGCTCTTGGCCCGTCGACCGAGGGAACCGGCGGTCATGTTGCTGGCGGCCGCCGGTCCGGCGTCTGGGGGACGGCGGGATGGATGTAATGTGCTCTGCGTAAACCCTGTCCCGCCGTCTCAATAGCTCCGACTGGGTTCCCCCCCGGTCCGGGGTAGGGCGCCGGCTGTGAGCGGCAGGAGTTTTTAGTGAGGTTCGACTCCCACATACCCCACCTGCCGTGCGGGTGGGGATCCGGCGATTTTCTCCTGTGGAAAAAAATAGGTGTACACAAGCGCGGAATACTTTAACATTTCATTGAAACGCTTCTATATTATATCATGATCAATCACTCTACGTCATTTAAACTATAAATCAGAGCGTGTTTTCCGCGTAGTAATTGTTATTCATCGATATTCATTTTGTGTATTTCCGACGATACCTTTCGATTTTTTATTCTATCAATCATTATCATCGTTAAATGGATCAGGGACACCGACAATCTATACGATGTACCTATTGTTTCGTAATTTTAGTGCCCGTTTTTAGTGTACTATTATATAAATTTCATTTGCTTATTCGTTTTACACGGAATATTTTTTATTGGTGATAGGACGTCCGGTTATAGGCTATATAGGTTTATAGGTTATTTTATTTTATAGGTTTCGCGGAGTCGGAGGGGTGGGGATCGATGGGGTTGGGGGGAGTCGGTAGTTAGTTAAGTGGGGCGGGTAAAAGAAAAAAAAAACACGCGTGGCACTTGGGGACTGCCGCGGTAAAGCTATTACATAGCATTTTTATCAACTCATGCAATTATAATTGGACAATCATAATTTAATATTCAAACCCTAACAAAATAAGACCATGCTGTATTTATAAACGTTAACTAAAGCAAAACATTAACTGTCCCCTTCACACTCATAAGCTAGACTGCGCGAGAGAGAGATGGGCAGACTTTTCATGATGCGCATGTAGTGCGACGTCACGCCGCGCGCTTATTCACAATCACTACACAAACGCAACGTGTGAGTGCGAGCTACATCGTAGGCGGAGTGGGGGGTGTTACGTTTTATTTTCGTTACGGAATTTCTTGATTCGGTCGCCGCGATAAAAGCTATACAATAGCTTAAAAAAGGACGTCTTGCGAGGCCGCATAAGTGGGTACCACCACTTTGCCTGTATGTGCTGAGGCATTATTGCGTTTCGCTTACAGGCCTATGTTTGCGTCTTTATTAGTGGTTGAAGAAACTATTTTTATTGCTTAAATGTATATTATATTACCATGATAAAAGGAGCTCCAGTTGTTATAATAATAATATTTACTATAATTACAACCATATATTCGTAAAGCCTCTTATTCATTATTGTCTGAAATATACGTACATAAATTCGTTTTCATTGCTGTTTTCCGTTGTGTATAGATAAATTTTAAGAGCGTTATCACAGTTTAATTCAAGCGGTAGGCTAATTAATAATTACAATATTATGCAAATGTTAAAAGTTTTGAGAAATTTCGCATGAAATAGAGACAGCTCTTATATTTCATAATTGCCAGGAAAGATTTTTCAAAACTCAGTCGAACGGACCTTACTAACTTGTGACGTCATTTGTGTGTAAAATCACGATAATTTAGCTTCGTGTGAAAATTTTATTGAATTCTTAAATTTTATTCAGTTATTTAAAATTGAAATCGTAAGTGGTACACAAACAGCGGTTTTATTGTGTATTTTTATTATTACATCTGATGTAAATTGGTTATCGGGGTACATGGATGCCACCACCCACTTTGAGGCATTAGGTTGAAATATGAGTTAAGTCGTCGTGGCCTAAAGGATAAGACGTCCGGTGCATTCGTATCTAGCGATGGACCGGTGATCGAATCCCGCAGGCGGGAACCAATTTTTCTAATGAAATACGTACTTAACAAATGTTCACGATTGACTTCCACGGTGAAGGAATAGCATCGTGTTATAAAAATCAAACCTCTCTTAAGTCCGCACGGGGAGGTACCACCACCCTGCCTATTTCTGCCGTGAAGCAGTAATGTGTTTCGGTTCGAAGGGTGGGGCAGCCGTTGTAACTAAGCTGAGACCTTAGAACTAACATCTCAAGGTTTGTGGCGGCATTTAAGTTGTAGATGTCTATGGGCTCCGGTAACCACTTAACAACAGATGGGCCGTGAGGTCGTTCACCCATCAAAGATATAAAAAATAAAAAAAGATGAAGTTAAGTCTTTAATGAGGTTTCTTCCAGCAACACATGCATAACATACAGAGACACGAGTGAGAGAAAAAAGAAAAATATAAATGTTAAGAGAACAAAAATACTTTCACACACTTAACTTATAATTAATAAATACATATAATTATATTATATAGAGACAATATGTCTATGTTTGCATACTTGTAATGTATAAAACTATCTAATATGTAAATAAATATCTTAATATTGTAAATGGTATTCTCATTTAGGCTAATGACAGATTTTAATTTAACGTAAATTAATAGACGAGTCAATACAAAAGAAAATGTTTGGAGCCTTTACAATTGTCTCAATTAAAGTGATGATTAATTGATGAAGGCACTAAATAATTATTTAATTTGCGTAATCACTGGTGGTAGGACCTCTTGGGAGTCCGCACGGGTAGGTACTACCATCCCGCCTATTTCTGCCGTGAAGCAGTAATGTGTTTCGGTTCGAAGGGTGGGGCAGCCGTTGTAACTAAACTGAGACCTTAGAACTCATATCTCAAGGTGGGTGGCGGTATTTGCGTTGAAGATGTCTATGGGCTCCGTTAACCACTTAACATCAGGTGGGCCGTGAGGTCGTCCACCCATCTAAGTAATAAAAATTAAAATAAAAAAAAGATGAAGTTAAGTCTTAAATGAGGTGTCTTCCAGCAACACATGCATATAACATACAGAGACACGAGTGAGAGAAAAAAGAAAAATAGAAATGTTCAGAGAACAAAAATACTTTCACACACTTAACTTATCATTAATAAACGTATTATTACTATAATTATGATTATATTATACAGAGACAATATGTCTATGTTTGCATACTTGTAATTTACAAAACTATTTAAATACATGTCAATAAATATCTTAATATTGTAAATGGTATTCTCATTTAGGCTAATGACAAATTTGAATTTAACGTAAATTAATAGACGAGTTAATACAAAAGAAAATGTTTGGAGCCTTTACAATTGTCTCAATTAAAGTGATGATTAATGGATGAAGGCACCAAATAATTATTTAATTTGCGTAATCACTGGTGGTAGGACCTCTTGGGAGTCCGCACGGGTAGGTACTACCACCCCTCCTATTTCCGCCGTGAAGCAGCAATGCGTTTCGGTTCGAAGGGTGGGGTAGCCGTTGTAACTATACTGAGACAGTAGAACTTATATCTCGAGGTGGGTGGCGCATTTACGTTGTAGATGTCTATGGGCTCCAGTAACCACTTAACACCAGGTGGGCTGTGAGCTCGTCCACCCAACTAAGCAATAAGGAATAAAAAAATTTTTAAAAAAAATTATGAAATTAAAATTCAGGACACGGGGTTATAACGCGCTTGTTTTATGGCCTATCTATCTGCTATTAGCTTCGAGAGGCGATTGTGGCTTAATTTTGGTGGGTGAGCTCACGACTTATACAAAAGCAGTATATCTTTTAACATTCGTAAAACAACGACAATATAATATTATAATATAATTAATTAACGGCCGTCTGGTGTAGTGGTAAGTGACATGGTCACTACACAAGGGGGTTGCGGGTTCGAATCCCGCCAAGGGAAGATATTTGTATGATAAATATAAATGTCTTTTCCAGGGTTATGGATGTATATTAAATATATCTATGTGTATAATAAAAATCTTACATTTATTTCCGTTATCTGGTACCTGTAACACAAGTGAAGAAGTTAACGTGGCGTGATCGTTAGTAAATATTTCTATTTATTATTTATTATTATTATATAATATAGACCTCTGGGTCTGCGGAGGGACTTCGGTTCCCTCTGTATTTTGTACCGCATGTTCCATAGGGAGTGCTCTGAGGAATTGTTCGAGATGATACCGGCATCTCGTTTTTACCATCGCACCGCCCGCCACCGGAGTAGAGTTCATCCATACTACCTAGAGCCACTGCGGTCATCCACAGTGCGTTTCCAGAGGTCTTTTTTGCCACGTACCATCCGGCTATGGAATGAGCTCCCCTCCACGGTGTTTCCCGAGCGCTATGACATGTCCTTCTTCAAACGAGGCTTGTGGAGAGTATTAAGCGGTAGGCAGCGGCTTGGCTCTGCCCCTGGCATTGCTGAAGTCCNCACTCTTTTTTTTTTTTTTTTTTTATTGCCTTTGTAGGCAGACGGGCATACGGCCCACCTGATGGTGAGTGGTTACCGTCGCCCATGGACTTCAGCAATGCCAGGGGCAGAGCCAAGCCGCTGCCTACCGCTTAATACTCTCCATAAGCCTCGTTTGAAGAAGGACATGTCATAGCGCTCGGGAAACACCGTGGAGGGGAACTCGTGGTTTTTGGTAAAAGTGATTCGTATCCATTCTCAAACCTGACATCTCGAATATAACAGCTACGGGTATACCGACTAGTAGAAGATTGCACAAAGTGGGAATGAGTTGCTCGCTCCGGGCATTTCAATATTGTAATAATTGTTATGTTGTTATACTCATGTAAAAATGAATATTTACAAAAAACCTAATATTAAAAAATAATCTAATATTTAAAATAAAATAAAAATATATGCCCGCTGAGTTTCTTGCCAATTCTTCTCAGGACGGAGGCTAGTTCTTGTGAATTGGCGGTAGTTCTTTTCACGTTCAACAAGTATGTACTTTCATTTATGATGAATTTTTTTTTTTGATTTGATTTGATTTGATTTGATGAGGAAAACATTACCTCGATATCTGTGACTTATGTATGTATTAGTTTAAAAAAAAAAGAGTGCAATGACCCTCACTACACGTCACTAGAGTAGGAATCAGATAGATTTCCGAATACGAAAATATAAAAAAACGTGTGGCACTCGGGAACTGCCGCGGTAAAGCTATTGCATAGCATTTTTTATCAACTTATGCAATTATAATTAGACAATGATAACTTAATATTAATACAATAATACGCCACGCGCTTATTCACAAACACTACACAAGCGCAACGTGTAAATGTATTGAACGCGAGCTACATAGTAGGCGTAGTGGGGGTGTCAGGTTATTTTCGTTACGGAATTTCTTGATTCAGTCGCCGCTCTCAAAGCCCGCGATAAAACCTATGCAATAGCTTAAAAATTCATTAGATTGTATTTAGGGCAATCGAATAAGTGAGGTTTTTGGTAGCACTGTTATACTGATTTCCTATCTTCAGAGTGGATTGGTTGGCGGCAGAAATAGGTGATACCCACTTCATACTAACTACGAACCCATCATATATTCTACGACCGATTTGGAAACACTTTACCTACAAATCACATACCTATTTTAAAATGTCAAACCATTGTATTTTGATCACACAACCTTAATATATGTAATCAGTTGATAATGATAATGTACTCTCGCTAATAAATAAGTCACGTGTCATGTCAAATCACGCACCATTACGTTTCATATTGAAATTTATAATTTATGTTTTTTTTTAACTGAAGTTTTGTTGTAGACGACGAATTTGGCGAGAAGTCTGTCTCGGTGTTGCTCGATGGAGAAGAATCAGAGCTCATCTTCATTGATCATCCCAGCACTGAGATGTCCGTAAGTGTATTTACGAAGAGTTAACGAGCTTAAGACGCGAGGTTCGAATTTACGTGAACGTCGGTGAATGAGTCCGCACGGGTAGGTATTTTTATTTTTTTTTATTGCTAGATGAGTGGACGAGCTCACAGCCCACCTGGTGTTAAGTGGTTACTGGAGCCCATAGACATTTACGACGTAAATGCGCCACCCACCTTGAGAGATAAGTTCTAAGGTCTCAAGTATAGTTACAACGGCTGCCCCACCTTCAAACCGAAACGCATTACCGCTTCACGGCAGAAATAGGCAGGGTGGTGGTACCCACCCGCGCGGACTCACAAGAGGTCCTACCACCAGTAATTACGCAAATTATAATTTTGCGGGTTTCATTTTTTATTACACGATGTTATTCCTTCACCGTGGAAGTCAATCGTGAACATTTGTTGAGTACGTATTTCATTAGAAAAATTGGTACGATGGATTCGAACACTGGTGCATCGCTCAACACGAATGCATCGGACGTCTTATCCGTTAGGTCACGACGACTTCTTCCAAAGGTACCACCACCTTGCCTATTTCTGCCGTGAAGCAGTAATGCGTTTCGGTTTGAATGGCGGGGCAGCCGTTGTAACTATACATAGAACATATCTAAAGGTGGGTGACGGTATCTACGTTGTAGATGTTTATGGGCTCCAGTAACCACTTAACACCAGGTTGGCTGTGAGAGCTCGTCCACCCATCTAAGCAATAAAAAAAAACCTACCTATCTGGGCATAGCTGGAATAGCCTCCTAGGCTACCAGCGAATGCGTAGTTTAAAAAACTCAAACATACAACAAACAGGAATGCTATTTCATATTTCAACAACTGCGACATTGGGTTATTCAAGAAAAGAGCATATTCTTATCTGAAGGGTAGGCAACGCACTGGCGTAAACGCTGGTGACCGTGGGCGGCGGTGAATCACTTACCATCAGGTGACCCGTCTTGCTCGTTTGCCTCTTAGTTGTTATAAAAAAAAAAAAAAAATGCGCTCTTTGTAATTTTGTCTTTAGATCGAGAACTGTTTGTCGACGTATGAGCCACATGCGTGCGTGGTTGTTTACTCTGTGGTCGCCAAGAGCTCGCTGCAAAGGGCCTCGGATCTGTTAGCTTACCTGTGCAGAGAACAATTCACGGTCGACAGAACTGTTGTGCTGGTCGGGAACAAGGCGGACTTGGCGAGGGCCAGACAAGTCTCGACTAATGGTGAGTAAGAAGTTTGTTTATGTAAATTCATTGGTTTTCAGGAGTCGTAGAAATAAAACGAAATAAATATGTTTATGTACAGTATGATTATTGGAACGAAATTCCTTATGGGACGATGCGGAGTGGTACCCTAACCGAGAAAAAACGTCCGTAACGTAAGATTTTTGTTAGTAATGTACACAGTGTACGACTAAACTTTGTCGTACACTGTGTACATTACTCGTCGTGGCCTAACGGATAAGACGTCCGGTGCATTCGTGTTGAAGCGATGCACTGGTGTTCGAATCCCGCTGGCGGGTACCAATTTTTCTAATGAAATACGTACTCAACAAATGTTCACGATTGACTTCCACGGTGAAGGAATAACATCGTGTAATAAAAATGAAACCCGCAAAATTATAATTTGCGTAATTACTGGTGGTAGGACCTCTTGTGAGTCCGCACGGGTAGGTACCACCGCCCCGCCTATTTCTGCCGTGAAGCAGTAATGCGTTTCGGTTTGAAGGGTGGTGCAGCCGTTGTGACTATACTGAGACCTTAGAACTATATCTCAAGGTGTGTGGCGCATTTACGTTGTAGATGTCTATGGACTCCAGTAACCACTTAACACCAGGTGGGCTGTGAGCTCGTCCTCACACCTAAGCAATAAAAAAAAAAATAAAAAAAAATAATAACGTACAAATTAGTAAGGTGCACAGTGTACGACTTAACTTTGTAATAACGTACAATAAATGACACATTTTTTATCATTCATTGACCACGATCTCAGAGCGTTCGTTTGGGCAATACACTAACTCTTATTCAAACAACCGTGAATGAAGTGTATCACAATAAGTTCGCACGTTACCGAGTGACCGTGGGTTATTGCGAAAGCTCCAGTTTTATTTTCTTTATACCTAGAATAGAACTTAAAATTAACATTTTTATAATGAGGAACTTCGTTTTTATCCGGTGTCCCACGACACCTCACATATTTTTTTACAGTACTTCGAATGCACAAAATTTGAAGTTGGACGATCCAAAGTTTCACCCTATAGTAGTGGCCATTGTTGTTCATGGACACATTTCCGGGGCACAGCATATCGTTGCTCGCGTTCGGTTATTCTTTTTTTTCTTTTTCTTAGATGGGTGGACGAGCTCACAGCCCACCTGGTGTGAAGTGGTTATTGGAGCCCATAGACATCCACAACGTAAATGCGCCACCAACCTTGAGATATAAGTTCTAAGGTCTCAAGTATAGTTACAACGGCTGCCCCACCCTTCAAACCGAAACGCATTACTGCTTCTCGGCAGAAATAGGCAGATAGAATAGAGATAGAATATTCGGGATCAAGATATGGCTTTTGTTTCAGATATTTAAGTAAGAGAAAACCTTAGCTTAGGGCCGTTGAATATGGAACGCCTGAATAATTTAAATATCATTATATTTACAACGGCCGTGGTAACGAAGTACTAAAAATAAATGATAATGTACGTTCTGAAATGAACTCTATTCACAATACAGAAGGCTCTTTCGGGCCGGAACCGTTAGGCTTATGAGCACGTAGGTGCCGCTCACTATAATTTATGTATTTGAATATTTTCTTAAGTCATTACTCGTCATTCAGAAAACGAAACGTGTTCACAAAATTCACTCACGGCTGTGCGGTACGCCCCACGAATTTTGAAATGGGAATGTCTTATGGAAAAAAGGGTGCGTGTACTTATGTACGCGCGTAAGAAGTTATACTTTAATTTTATTAAATTTATTTCTATTTATTTTTTTATTTAAATTTTAATCAATTTGAAAGAAAAAACGATTAAACAACATCCTCAAACACGCATATTGGACATCCCTTTTCTTGACATCGTATAAATTTGGTAATTTTCGGTACGGTTCGGAAAGTTCACCTGCGGCTATATTCAGACTCGCTAAGTTACGTCGGTCGTATTGTAATGAGCGATTTAGTGGGCAACTTCATTCTCTTAATTTTGTGTCACGGTGCGCGCGCATCGTAAAATTTCACTCTCATCAATTTTTCATAACGCGCCTAAAGAAGTATAACTTCAAAAATGTATGTTCCAAATAAGAATAAATATTTTCGATCGCGCCAAACGCACTGGGTCGTGATCGAACGATGTTTTCTTTATAGTAACACAGAGGGTGCCTTAATCATACTGCCCTGAACTTTGCCTGGCTTGTAAATGTTCCCAGGGTAAGTTATTTCGGAGTAACCTTTTTACAAAAACGTTGACAGCAGGCGCTTTCAATAGACTGGGAAATGAATTTCGTATTTTTAATAATGGAACATTGACGCTACGTGACGTTAAGTCGAATTTTTAAGCTGTTTGAGGAGTATCTACGGCTTACATTTTCTTCGAAATAATTTATCGACTTCTATTCTCTGTTTGTACGTCAATGGAAAGTGTTCTTGTAAATTTAGGAGGTACAAAGTTAAAGTGTTTACAAAAGTCGTATTTGACGTGAAAGGATATTTTAATTGTAATTCCTTTGTCATTTATTAAGAAATAATTATAAGGACTGTTTGGCGGGTACGCAAGGAAATAAGTTGTACCAATTGCTTTATTTTATTAATTTAGTGTTTCTTTAAGCTTAGACGTGTAAATTATAGCTTAATGATGATTTTAATTATGGTTAGTGAAAATTAAGTAACGTAACAATGCTTCTTGGGTTCTTTCAAAAAAGTCCTCTGAAAGTCGCAGTAAATTCGCGTCATTTTACTGGGAATTTATTTCATCTCAACCCATCTCATTTTATTTCAATGCAATTTATTACCACTTCAGAGAGATCAACTTCATTTAATTCCATTCCATGGAAACATTTTAAAATGAAACATGAATAATTTGTAAATGATTTTTTTTTTATTGCTTAGGTGAGTGGACGAGCTCACAGCCCACCTGGTGCTAAGTGGTTACTGGAGCCCATAGACATCTACAACGTAAATGCGCCACCCACCTTGAGATATAAGTTCTAAGGTCTCAATTATAGTTACAACGGCTGTCCCACCCTTCAAACCGAAACGCATTACTGCTTCACGGCAGAAATAGGCAGGGTGGTGGTACCTACCCGTGCGGACTCACAAGAGGTCCTACCACCAGTAATGAATGTTTGATGCAGTCGATACTTACAACATTGACATCGTATGAAACTACTCCTCATATTAAAGAAAGAGAAGAAGAAAAAGTAAAGTCGTATTAAAAAAAATGTAACTGATAATTTGAAAATAAAATTGAAAAGGTCTTCGAAATAAAATTGTTTTATTAAGAGCAGATTGGAACAGTGTATCTAACAATTGACAATTGTCTTAAAATAAAAATTAAAGTCTGTTTTCGGATTTATTATTTTTTTCTTCGGGGCTGTCATAATGACTAGGTCATGTTTTCTAGAAGGCCCGATCTTTGCGTGCCGGTCAATGAACTTTTTCCATCTCGTTTCTCCATCATCTTTTAAACACTTCTGTTATATGGAGTATTTTTTATGCCACAGATACACAATGACCGGTGGGCCGTATGCTCGTCTGCCTAAAAGGGCAATAAAAAAAATTACCCGACCAATGTGTTTGGTAGTTGTTATCGCAATAAATGACTCGTTCTCAAATCTCAGGCGTAAAATGATCAGTTAGGACGCATAAGGTCAATAGATCACACAGTTTTTTAATACGCTTTTATTAGCTTCAGACATATGTATGTTTGTAACGGAATCTTTGAACATGATTTTGACCCCCTTCAAAACATCGGATTAACTCGAAATTTGGAATACTTATTAAGGACCGATGACAATTCTATATTATAAACAAATATATTGAAAAAATTTAAATTCAACTAAAAAATGAACAGATATGAGTAGAAGGGTTATTTTGATAATATCCTGTAAAGCACGCCCCACGCTTTTTTACAACAAAATCATTTCTTGTTACACTATTTTTAATTCAAATTTATTACAAAAAAAAAATTCAATTTTTTGAATTGGTTTTTCTATAAAAGCGTATTTTGTTAGTTTTTTTTTTTATTTAGCTTATACTCATTCGAATATTCGCCCATCAGAAGGCAAAGCACTCGCAACGTCCAGGGACTGTAAATTCATCGAGACATCCTCCGGAATCCAGCACAATGTTGACGAGCTGCTCGTCGGTATACTGAAGCAGATACGTTTGAAAGAAACAAGAGACAAGAAGCAAGCCAAGAAAACTTCAACTACCAAGGTATGTTCGTTTAATCTTAGGTCGTAATTGATTATAAATATTTTTTTCTTTCAGTGAGCTAAATACCGATATATCACGATCGTTTCAGGTAAGTACTTGTAAGTTTCTGAAGTGATAACTTTTTATCGGAAGGTAAACCGCTTCGTTACGTAACGCGTTACAGCGACAGTCAGTCTGGCGTCCCTTTCACTCACGCGTACGGCCAGGGCCCTGAAACTGTGATACTTTAAGACAAATAGTTTTATTAGTAAAAGAAGTAGTATTAGTAAAGGAAATAACTTTAAAACGCTGCAAGGAGATTTGAAAAAATCAAAAAGCGACCACATACTGGTGGTAGGATTACTTGTGTGTTCGCACGGGTAGGTACCACCACCCCGCCTATTTCTGCCGTGAAGCAGTAATGCATTTCGGATTGAAGGGTGGGGTAGTCGTAACCATACTGAGTTCTTAGAACTTATATCTTAAGGTGGGTGGCGCATTTACGTTGTAGATGTCTATGGGCTTAACCACTTAACGCCAGGTGGGCTGTGAGCTCGTCCACTTATCTAAGCAATAAAAATAAAAACTCGAATTCTAATAGTATCGTTAAAATGTAATAAGCTAAATTCGGAGATATAATTAATAACCGTTTTATTAACAAACAGGCTAGAAATATTACAATAGGAACATTCGTTTTTCATACAAAAACAAATGTTCACTCACTCATACGTAGTTCACACGTGAAATGATATATCGTTATTTTGTATGATTCCAATTGAAAAACCGTATCATTTTTTTTTTTTTTAATCATTTTCCAAGAAGTAAACTGTGATATAGAAATGTTTTTCGATTTCAAAACATTCCTCTCTGTTGACATCCGAATAATTTTCATATCAATCCAGCTTCGATACAAGTTTCTGAATAATTTTCAAACAAGTAATTTTTTACGAAAAAATCTATAACAATACACAAAAACTCAGTACTCAAATGTTGAATTGATTTCACGACTTTCGCGAAATTTAATTTATATAAATAAATAAAGGCTAAAGTGGGTAAAAGCTTCATCTGACTATACTCACCGCAATTCTTGATACACAATCTAAATAATTATTATATAAATTATGTTTCGCATCGAGATCGCAACTTCAACGTCTCTTATTTTCTCAAACGCACCGAAAGGAGTATAACTAGTGGTAGTATTAGTAATGGAAATAACTTTAAGCCGCTCCAAAGAAATTTGAAAATTTCTCAAAACACGTACAAACAATTTTTGTAAAATTTGTACAGGACAATATGGTCTCTTCGGCTAGTTGTTTTGTTCTCCTTAATACTGAGAGCTGCTACCACGACATAAAACTTTTAAACTTCAAAAGGCGACGTAAGTCACTAGGACCCCCTAGAAAATTATATCTTAGAAAGAATAAAAGATATCATAACTAGTGTTTGTTTCCAGAAAACCCCAAGTGTAACCCGTCATTAAGCAGCTAATAATCGAATAATATTTTTATTTATTTATTTTTTATTGCTTAGATGGGTGGACGAACTCACAGCCCACCTGGTATTAAGTGGTTACTGGAGCCCATAGACATCTACAACGTAAATAGGCCACCCACCTTCTAAGGTCTCAAGTATAGTTACATCGGCTGCCCCATCCTTCAAACCGAAATTCATTACTGCTTCACGGCAGAAATAGACAGGGTGGTGTTACCGATCCGTGCGGACTCACAAAAGGTCCTACCAGTAAAAAAAAATTCCAGAATTTTTTTTAATAAATGAACAAACTCTTTTTGTAATTATTCCTAATGCTTAATTTTGAATAAAAAAGACTACGCCAAAAATAACGTTAATAAGCTACAACAGGAAGCAGACCCCTTCATTGATTGGATTCTTTTCATGTTTTTCCTCTTTCCTCGTAATTATAAGCGTTGATTACCACCAGGGGGATCAGGTTTCGGTTGCTACGTAACAAAAAATCGGAATTATAATTATTACATTTCATATATGTACATTTCTGGCAATTTCTATTTCTTTAATTCGGTTACCGGAATCATGGGCATCACAACATGAATGCCGCCGAAAAGCTTGAGACATAATATTTATTTATTCACAGATTTGAGTACCACTTCTTAATTCTTGGCACGGACCTAGCTAGACATATAATAACTGGTAAGGGATTTGCCTTAAGAGTTCGTATTTTTAAATCATGCAATGTGCACATTCCGATGCCATCTAAATTTGACATGTATTTATCTATACTAGTGGTCCCTCAGTAGTCGAAAATCGACCATAATTAATTTGAACATTATTATGGCTCTATTGTTAAAGACTATTATTCTATAATCACAGATTTCGCCAAGGCTACACTATAGACAAATTATATTAATGACAAACAATATTAATCTATTCTCAATTTGACCACAAACTTTAACAATAAACAAAAGAGTATATATGTATGCGTGCCTATGCCAAATATATGGTAGTGTGTGTAAAGTTTCTGTTATTAGTTTAATGTATATTTTTAAACATATTTTAAATTATTTTTGCATTCTGCACTCCTCCTCTATATTCTCTATAAGTGTGGGAAATTTCGTACACCTCCGTCCGCGTAATTTTCGTAAAAAGGGGTACAAAGTTTTTGCTTCACGTATTAATATATAGATGTACTGGTGAATTTTATTATTTGAGTTCGTTTAGGAAAAAATCGACACCATAGACAAGATAAATGAATAAAACCTTTCGTTATGAATAAAACCTTTCGACTTAGTGGACAGAAGCGTTAAATATTTTACATCAAAATAAATCGGAGGTTGTTCTTTGTTTTAACATTCTTTGAAAAAAAATGACAGCCTATTATTGTAATTACTAACTTTGGCTTAATTATTGTAGAAAATGTATTTATAATTATTTGCCTCAGTTCCGCTTGGGGGAACATGGATTTTTAAAGTAAAAATAAGAAACGATGTTAATGTATATAAGCTATTTTTTACGAACAAGCTCCATTTCCATAAACAGCCGTACTGGTGTAGTGGTAAGTGACATGGTCACTACACAAGGGGGTCGCGGGTTCGAATCCCGCCAAGGGAAGATATTTGTATGGTAAAATGTAAATGTCTTTTCCAGGGTTATGGATGTATATTAAATATATGTATGTGTATAATAAAAATCTTACATTTATTTCCGTTATCTGGTACCTGTAACACAAGTTCTTTACGAACTTATCACGGGACCAGTTAACGTGGCGTGATTGTTAGTAAATATTTATTTATTTATTTGAAATATAAAATACTTGAAGCCACAAACCACTTACGTTTACGTAATTCTGTTTTTTTTCTGGAATCGCTATCGACGACAAAAAGTCTCTTTTTTGTGGCATGTCGTGCAATTGTTATTTACATATGTCGTAGGTGATTAACAAGTGCACGACCAGCCTGATTTCAGTGGTTATTTGAGCCCGCAGACATCATAACATAAATGCCGTCACCCATCAGACTTAAGGCCTATTATCTCAATTGTGTTGTAATTATAGAAATCACAACTTTTGTGAATTTTATTTTCTTACACGACCAACAAAAATTGCTATGGAATTTAGACAACGGCAGAGTCGCATCGCTCGATACGAGTACACTGATCGGCTTGCCTTTAAGCCACGACGGCTTCTGATAAAGGGACATACGTTGTCGTTGTGGCCTAAAGGATAAGACGTCCGGTGCATTCGTATGTAGCGATGCACCGGTGTTCGAACCCCGCAGGCGGGTACCAATTTTTCTAATGAAATACGTACTTAACAAATGTTCACGATTGACTTCCGCGGTGAAGGAACAACATCGTGTAATAAAAATCAAACCCGCAAAATTGTAATTTGCGTAATCACTGGTGGTAGGATGTCTTGTGAGTCCGCACGGGTAGGTACCACCGCCCCGCTTATTTCTGCCGTGAAGCAGTAATGCGTTTCGATTTGAAGGGTGGGGCAGCCGTTGTAACTATACTTGAGACCTAAGAACTAATATCCCAAGGTGGGTGGCGCATTTACATTGTAGATGTCCATGGGCTCCACTAACTACTTAAAACCAGGTGGACTGTTAGCTCGTCCACCAAACTAAGCATTAAAAAAAAACAAGACAGAAAACACGGTTTCGATCCACTAACATGTAATGTCTTTCGCAGGAAGCCAAACCAACAAAACTAGCCAGCTCTCGCACTCATATCTCGCTGAGCATCGCAAGGGAACTGCTACAGAAAATATGCATCAACGATATATCGAAATCAAAGTCCTGCGAGAATCTACACGTTCTCTAAGCGCGTGTTCCCCTTGTGCTTCCTATATGTATATCAATACTAACTCTTCCTAGTTTGTAGTAAACAAACTGTTAAGTCTCTGTTTTCGACTGTTTCTATTCTAATAAAAAAAAACTACAGTTCGTTTTTTGAATGTATGTTGTGTGTTTAATAATTCAAGATTCAAAAAAAAATATTTGGTAAATTTCGCGGCATTTGACCCGATTAGCGCTTGGTAGTTCGATTCTGTGTTTTTAGAATACGTCATCAACATTGTTCTATCGTTATGTTGTGTCAAATAGAGATCCCTAGAGAAATTACACATGGACTAAATTTACATTGGCTATTTGATTGATGTTAAAGTAGTTTTGGCAAGTTCATAATGTTAACGTGAATTACGGAAATTATTCTCTTAGATTTGGTATCCATTAAATATTCGGGTGTGAGTTCCGTAAGAGATTTATTTAACTTCTTTAAAACTATGTAATCCTGGTACTTTGAAAAGCGGTTTTCAAATTCCTATATTCCTGCCTGCCCGTGGTTCGGTTCTACGTAATTTTATAACTTTTCCGATCAACAAATGCTTAGAAAACTTTTAAAAGAGTTCCCGAAGTATTCCTTTTTAACTTCAAGCTCTGATAACAAACTTTTGAATTCGTAATCTCACATTTATTCATTTGATTACGTACAAACTTGTTTGCGTTTTAATGAAAAAAATATTAGGTAAACTTGAGAGATCCTATGCATTTTTATTAAATAGAATACCCAAGCCAATCATTATACAGGTTTTGATGTTACTCATAGAAAAATAGTGATATCAAAAAAAATCGCAATTCAGACAAGACTTCTAAATTCAAGTAATGACAGCAAGTCCAAATAATACGAATTCCGCCATAAATTGAATGCATATTTTGAAGATTCATCTCCCTTTACTTCATTTTCCTTATCCCACTTTAGCGGGGTCGACTCTCCTGATTTGTCTCCGCCAAGAATTTCTATCCTGAGCTATCATCACACTGATAAGTTAGGCGTCTTTAACTGTTCGAGTCATGTTTGTCCATCATGTGCCCTGGGGTCGTCCTTTTCCGGGCCCTTTGCAGCAAGGTGAACGTGGTCATTGTCCCTCCCCATCTCCTTGTCACATCTGTGACTATTTCATCAATCGAAGCGACCATAGAACTTTCCCGTATGTCCTCATTTCGTACTTTGTCGAGTCTGGTAACACCCCTGTCCATCTTAGCATTCTTATCGCGTTTTGACGGAGTTTTTGCTCAGAACTTCTTTTTGTAGAACACTCGGCACCATAGAGCATCACAGATCGTATTGCCGTCTTGTAGATATTTCGAGTGATTCATAAAACCACAAAATCGACACTGATAAATTCCACGACGGTCCCTATTCACTTGGCAACCGGATAGGCTCTCAAATGTTGTTGTTATCCCATTCCGGCAAGATTTCCATCATTATTTCGGAATCCGATACATTTGTTTCACGGCTCGAGGGACATACAAGACCCGTAAAAGCTGAATTTACGGACCGTTTCGTCTTGCTCGCTATTCAGGTTAATTAAGCCGTGCGAGTAGGATAGACGTTGTTCTGTAAGCGTAGTCTTATTGAACTTTGTGTGAGGACTACGTTTTATGTTTGGTTGTGGTATTTCTTCCATCTAAAAATAAATTTTAATGTGCTCTCCAATTCTTATAAGGTCTTGTTCACGTGCGCGTGATTTTTATTTATTCTTATTGTATGTTAAAATTAAATTCAAATTTTTTTTTGCGTAAAAGCCGTTTTTTGAATCTTAAGTGTTTTAGTTTGTTTTTAGACACTATTTTCTCGAATAGGGTTGCCTTCTAAAGCTTTTTTGTGTATTTTTTTTAACTAAGTTTGTTTCACAAAGTTTCATTGTAATTTATAGGATATTTTGGTCTCATATTGGTCATTGATCTCATATTGATTGGATTAATTTTTTAATCTGGTATGTAATATTATTGATTCTTTTTTTTCAAATTATCCTCTCTTGATTTAGGCGATAAAAGTATAACTAATTTGTTAAAGCGATTTCATGTGTTTTTTATTTATTTTTTAAGCCGTACTTGATTATATATTATTCATAATATTTAAATTAATTTAGTTGTTGTCAGAGAATAAACACAGAACGAGAATTAAAAATAAAAACAAATCAGACAATTAAATTGAAATTTACGTTTAAATCTAAGCTTAATTAAATATTTAATAGTTATTTTCAGTATTTTGATGTATACTTAAAATGAAGAAAAAAAAAGCGATTTTAGTATTAAATATATATACTTCATGTTAAATATATTAACATGTGGAATAGGTATATTATTATGTCAGTATTATCAAGCGTTCACACAGAGCCACTAATAATCTAGACTCAAATTTTAAATAAAGTTTGAAAAAAATACCTAATGTTTTTAGGGATAAAAACACTCAATAGATTTTTCTGTTCTAAATCTCCTATTACGTGCTTTTGATCTGTAATAAAATTTGATACTATGAACACAGATGAACCGCCATCCGTTTCTGCGACGAAGTATTTATAACTAGCTTATTTTTCCTCACGGCAGTACTATGTGGTCGGTGCCTAATATTTATCAGCTGATTCTCACAATTGCCAATAGGGTTTTGTAAGGAACGGGAAATTTCAAAAGGATTTTCAATCACTGTTCTAAGACTTCAGTGAATGGTACAATGCTTTTATTGAACATAAATCCAATATATCAGTTTTATCTGTATTTTGTTCAACAATAAGATATGCTATTAGAAGCCCGGTTGGATATTACCGTGTTGCCTATTTTGTCGGGAAGTAATATTTTCATTTTGATAAATAGAACGATTTTTATCCAATACAATTGAGACTGTGGTATGATGTTTAATTATTCTGTAATTTCTCTAAATTCATCTACCTTTTATTTATTTTTATTTATTTTATTAGGCTCACAATACACATCACAAGCTAAAGATACATAAAAAACACAAATAAAAAGAAACAAAATCTGGCTTGCAACATAAGTTATGTGCGCACGACAAAACAAGACATATAGTGCTGAATTTGTATAACAATGTTCCTTACAATTATGACAAAACAACACAATAACAAAAACTAATCTAACGAATAATGTAAGNATTTATTTTATTAGGCTCACAATACACATCACAAGCTAAAGATACATAAAAAACACAAATAAAAAGAAACAAAATCTGGCTTGCAACATAAGTTATGTGCGCACGACAAAACAAGACATATAGTGCTGAATTTGTATAACAATGTTCCTTACAATTATGACAAAACAACACAATAACAAAAACTAATCTAACGAATAATTTAAGGAAAAAAAAATATTCACAATATAATACATTAAACAATTACATTAACCTACCTATTAATAAAGTGGAGGATGCCCTTGAATATTTTTAAAAAAGTAATTATTTAAAAACAAACTACTAGACTTTTGATGAAACTTCGCTCAGTGTGAATGCTGGTTAAGTCATGTTACAATTTGTATAATCTTGTTATGTCGACTTAATATATGATAGTTCTACATTTAACTATTAGAACATTATATTTTTCTATAAATAAAACTATCAAAGACTTTTACTGTAATCAATGTTTTCCATTTTGTTTGTTGTTCGTTCGTGTCATCCCGAAATCGTTTTCAAGTTTATTAATTACGTAATGAGCTCGAAATTAAATTGGTTTTGTTGTTTGCATAAAGAATTTGAGTGATTTAGAATCTTATTAACAAGTTTTACGAATTTTAATTAATAAATCAATTACATTAATTTTTTATGTAATCCAAACATTTAATAGGTCGTGTGTTGAGACTTTTACGTTACGTTACTCAATTTAGGCACGGTAGGCAGCGGCTTGGCTCTGCCCCTGGCATTGCTGAAGTCCATGGGCGACGGTAACCACTCACCATCAGGTGGGCCGTATGCCCGTCTGCCTACAAAGGCAATAAAAAAAAAAAATTTGTCTACGCTACAAACTTTAATGTATAATTGAGGCCATCAGCGTAAAAGTGGCCTAACGCACAATTTTTCAAAATTGGTGCTTCTAAATTGCAATTTATTTGAAACAAAATACATTTTGACGCGAAACCGACCTATGCCTAGTTTCAGTGATAGATAACAAATGGCTTTGTAAACATTATTTTCGCGCGTATTGTTTTTGCCTACGAAGCAGTGTAAAAGTGAATTCAAACCTCGATATCTCCATACTAACTATGGTAAGCTTAGGCCACTTTTAAGCTGACGCCCTCGGTTATACCCAGCCCGCAATCTAACACAATATTAAGTGTACCGTCGCGTGAAGTTAATGAACGCGGTGAGTTTCCTACGCTTTAGATTGCTGGTTATTAAATAGGCCAACCATTAAAAAACTAAGTATGTATTGTTATCAAACTTGGCAAACAAATTTCGGTTTAATTGAGTTAGGTACTATATTATTTTACTTTCTTCTTCGAGATCCAATGTTTTGAAATTTTTATCTCATTCTCTCATCACGTAACGAATATAACGTCCTTAGTGTATGTTCATACTTTACACAATTAAAACACATAAAGATTTGATTTTTTAATTTGGTTTCCCAATTTAGTATCATTTGACACGAACGATACAATTATGAAACTTTATGAAATGTAAGATGTTTATATGTACAGGCTGTTGCAAAACAGTGTCAAATATTTTGAAAAAAAAAAAAACAGCGCTTTTCAAAGAAATCGATAGAAATATCAAAAATGAAAATGATCATTTTACCAACGGCTATTTCACTAACTTTTATACCACTTCATAAGTGTTTGATAGTGTTTTGTGAACATCCTGTATAATTATTATTAAGTATAAATATGTGTGTGTGTTGTTAGACGTATTTAGGTGTTCACTGTTACTTTTCATATTTCTAAAAGAGAGTGCTCGTGTTAGATAGGATTTGAATATATTGACGGATTTGTGCAGATTTTGAACAAGAACTAAATATACCATAAAGTATTATTATACAT